TACTTTAAGACCTTAGTGTCATTATGAGTAAACCCAAGGCACGCATTCAAATCGTCCCAACAAAAAACCAGTTGATACACGAAGGTACGCGGTCTAAATTCACAAAGGCAAACATTTTGTGCCTAACATGCTTGTAGCAAGACCTTGGCATGTTTGTAAGACAAAGACACACATTTTTAAAACCTTGTGGTCATATTTAATAAGACAAGGTATGAGGTCGAGTCGCCAAATTCGTCATAATGGCTAAGCCGCCTTGACTCTCTATGGACTGGAACAAAGTATGAAAAAAATGCAAGAAAGTTACATAAATTGAGAAGGCAAAAAGGTGACTTTTTATTCATATATCAAAAATGTTCACACTAACATTTACATCAATGTTTACATTCATCAATTAAAATAAAGAAGAAGTCGGATGTATGAAGCTTTACAGAGCTTTGCTCAGATCAGGAGTAGGACTGGGCAAAGGCTACACCTAACTCTGGAGTTAAATTCAGCTGAGGAGAAGCAAGGATATCCTCTTCATCTTGATTAGAGCCTCCTTTTGATTCCTCGCCTCTCTCGTCCCCATTGTCAACATCCAGCACTGGCCAGCCTTCTTTTATCTCTATCTCCTTCAAGACATCGAGGTAGTTAGAAACTCAAGAGGATAATAGAGAGCTGGCCCAAAAGGAATTCAAGTCCAACTTTACAAGCCAGAGCTACCTCTACAGTGCCTAGAGGGCCGTCGTGGTATTTATCCACAAATTCCACCCTAAAGGCCTTAGACTTGAGATAGCCAAGGCAGCCCTATAGTGCTTTAACTTTAGCGAGAAGCGACTCTCACTGCTTCTCAGCCTCCAATGTCACTTAGGTTGCCTCCTTCTTTAGCAGTTTATGGGTGGCCGCCTCCTCTTTAAGCTATACCTAGAGGTTATTGACTTCTGGGCGAGCAGACTGGGCATGCTCAAAGGCAATCCTGACTCGCCTCTTAAGTTCAAGCTTACTCTCCAAGTATTTCACTCAGTCATCTCACTCGAGAATCTCATGTTGAAGATGGTCGACGTCTTCTTTTAGCTCTCGATGGTGGCCAATTTCTTATGGTTGTGGGCCTTGAGTCCCTCGATCATCGTGTCCTGAGTCTCCAACTTCCGGTGCTATTTTCTATCACTCCATTTCCAGGCATTCAGCTTGAACTCCATGGCAGCAGCTTTCTTCTCGACCTCCTCCCGAGCCACCTTATCGGCCTCCTAACCTCTTGAAACTTAGTGGGGAGGTCTCATGCGAGCTGAACTAAGAGAACAACTCCTACTCAATCAGAGTTCCCCGCAAAAAAAGATAACCATTGAGGGCTTGGTGAAGGCCGACAACGGGCATCCCCTCGAGGATTTTGTCACCCTTGGTGAGAAAGAATTACCCTAAGGCCCGAGCTTGGACCATCTGAGTCTCCATGACCAAGCTCCTCTTGTCAACAGATCGCTTGGCCATGCATCGGTTGTCTGAGGATGACTCCTTGTCATATCAAGGGCTATCTCTGGACCAGCTAATTAGCATTTCCTTTAGTAGCCCCCACACGTTTGGGTCAAGCTCATTGATACGGTAGGGTAATGATCACTAGAAGTTGGTCCCTGGAATTGGAGATACCTCGGTCGACTCCTTGGCTGGCG